TCTGAAGTATATATATATTTACACATTACCGGCTACGGTCTGCTCCAGTCTGAGAATGATAATTATTATTTTTTTAACTTTCAATATGGGCTCTCGTTGCAATATGGCACCACACACGCATTCGTTACGCACAAAAACGCACTTGTGGGCCTTTTAATATTCTTTTATCAAAGTTGATATTAACACTGCTCTGAAGTATATATATATATTTACACATTACCGGCTACGGTCTGCTCCACTTTGAGAATGAAAATTAATAGTTTTTCATCTTTAAATTGGAGTCCCTATACAGCATAGAGACGATTGACAAACACCCTCACTGGTCTTTTAATTCAAGTATAAATGTGGACATGTACACATGCAAACTTCGTGAATATATTTACTTGGGTAATGGTCATAAAAGTGGATCTTGATCACAACTCACCTCTGTAATTGGCTTGCTACATTGCATTATCTTGTTATCAGATACGTTTGGATAGCACCTACCTGGCTTTATTAGTCAACATGTTTTAAACCAGTTATATATCAGTTCGACATATACATGTATCAATACAATCTTGGAAACGATAACAAGTATAGACAAAGGCCAGAGCCCGTTTCAATTAGGTAACAGGAAAAAGAAACTGAAAACCCGAAACAAATTTCCACTTGTTGACGCAAGTCTATGTGCTAGCAATTACAAGATGGAGGCAATGCTGTGTCATAGCAACCACGAGGGACCGCGAGAAATTGCGTTATCCATGCAATAGAACAAAAGGATTTCAGTGAGGCACAGCGCGCGCTACCTTGATAATAAGTTGTTCAGGCTCCCGTGGAGCTATCAAAACAGCTTATCTGAGACAATGGGCGAATGTTTACCCGAACGCACATAGCTTCAAAGGAAGATGCCGCGTTACTCGTCCTTCTCTCATTAGGTCCATGTTTAATCGTATCATACACAATACACGTAAACGTATGATACACAATGTTCACTAGTGTCATTATTTTGGCGATTTATTAAAACCATATTTGTACAAAGTAGGTTAGCATAAGTTAGGCAACAACCAGTGTGAAGAACAACTCCCTTTTTAAGTGAGGCAAGACAACCTATTCAAACTGATTATAACCTTGATAAAGACACAAGGCAAAGAAGTTATGTAAACTAGCGTGTGAAAACACATTCTTTGTCACTGTTACAAGACAATGGAGGCGACCAAGTGGAGTAATTACAATATACCCCTGTACAGTCAAAGAGAAATTAGTTATGAAAGCTTACTTCGGGTCAGCCCTTAATTTGCTTGTCCGAAAGAAAGAGATAGATGTCGCAACGCGAATCCTTTTTATTTATTAACCCTTCATGAGTTTGTGTAAAAGTGTGAAACACAGGCAACGATCTCGAGTCGCTGTTGATATTGTTCCGATGTTCGCAATTAATATTGGAGTATACCGCCTACATGTAAACATCAGACAAGGCGTTGAGATCGATAAAAGTGGAGGTTCATCTGAAAAATTATATGCCATTTTTGTGAAATGACTTATTAAGTGATGTGCATGTACCGAACTTGTTTAAATTCTTGATTTTTATTATTTGAAACATCTTCATACACGACCTCATATTTATATTTCTCTCAGGCCATACTCATTTTATTGTATAACATGGGACTCTAAAGCACAGGGCATTGTGAAAGTTAATTGGCTGCAGAGACTTGTTATCCTTCATGCAGTTTTATAGCGTGGATGAACTAGAAACAGGCTTTACTTACAGTAGCTTTACTTAATTTTCGAAAATTTAAACAAAATCAATGCTTTGACTTGATGTTAACTTAACACTGGTTTTAAAAGAAGAAATATAAATATGTTGGATGGATTAAATCACCGACACCGTTCTATTTTAACTAAACGTGGTCATATACACAGTAACACAGATAATATTTATAAGTTGTCTGTCGTTCAGCACGCATTATGGGCGAGTAGCCAAACAGTGACGATGATCAATCCAAGTAAAATCTATGCAAGTATTGTTTACAAAATAGATCATGATGAATAAACCTACGCTTTAATAAATAATCACCACACGGTTCTGTTTTTGTCACTTAAAAGCTTTCGTTTAAAGACGCTCAATGATATCAAAAATGCTTCGACGCTTTAAAAATGGGCCGGTTCAAGGGGCATTTTTTGTTTCAGCTAGGGGGACTTCAGGTAGAGGATTCAGTGTAGGTGTTTCCTCGGATGATAACAGCATCACACCCTAGGTCTAAGCGAGTTGACTAGAAGCTTTTTGTCCAAGCATCCTATTCCTTCTACTAAACTAATAACTCTAAACCACAAAGGTTTATACGGTAAAAATATTTAAACTAAATGAGGTGCATTGACAGAGGCACAAGTACAACCCAACGCCAACGTGCAACAGGGGAAAGTCTGACAGTGTATTACATAATATATGAAAGTGCGGTCAATATTAACAGTGTAAGACATCAGTTAAATAGGAGGGGGTCTTACTATCTTTTGTTAAACGCGACTGTTATTATCTCTCGAACAAGTTTAAACCATGCCTTATACAATTACTGTGTCTCCGGCTGTCGTGCAGAAACGGCATGTCGAACATATTTTGCTACAGTTACAAACAATGAAAACTAGCGACTTAATTGTTCTAGATCGCTCTAGTAAGAAAGCATAAGTGCGGCGCCCGGGCAAAACAATCAACTACCGGGTATAACATTCATATCTTAACGTTTACATATGACTCGCAAAGAGCTAGGTAAATATGACGCGCAAAGAGCTAAGCAATTAGCCTTGACAAAGTGGTCCGTTTTTAAACAACAACGAGAAAAAAGAACGCCTTGTCATAGTTATGAGACAAATCGCTTGCAACGTGCAACAAGGGGGATGGCTGACAGTGTGGTCACACTACATGTTTATGAAAGTACGTTGAATTAACAGTCTTCGTCATCGCCCAAAGAGGAGGGACTTACTGTAGCCCTCAATCTATTGTTAAACGCGATCATTATCTTTTCTCATACAACCTTAAACAAAAACTAAACAATAAGATTGTTAAATCAGATAAGTGATGTAAAATCATATTGGAAATTTACGTTGACGACGGAGACTTTCATTCGCAAAGTTAATGAAACAAGACTGGTCCAAGTTAACTGCCCATATTGAATAAATCTTAGACTGTTAAACCTAAAGCCCTGCTTTACTTTGGTAATAGTTATTTAGTAAGCTAGGTTTGTTCACATATATCATAAAGCATAAGGGCCTTGTGCTGCAAACAACCCATTTTGAACGCAATCGTCGTCGCTCCCGAACAACCTGAAATCATGCCTATACAATATTAGGAGATGCACGTCGAGTAAAAGATTCAACACCTGGGTCCCCAGCACTATTATGAAAAGGAAAAATGACTTGACGCTTCATGCACAATCATCATCGAAAGCCTAGTATCATTATGCTTCGTGCGCAGTCGATTTTTATCAAAATAAAAAGTGTGTTTTATACAAGCAAAATCTAACTTTCCTTTATAACTGTTACTGAACAGCGAAGAGTTACATACACCCGGTTATAAAATTACAAATGTAATTATGAGGCTAATTTATCTAATGTGGAATGAAATATTTTGTTGGCTTTCAAATGATAGGACACTCACTTTAATCTTAAAAGAAGTTAGTTTATATGCCCGTTCCCCTAACGCGCGTGCAAAAAAGTCAAATAAACAGATACATATCTGTCTATACTGGTAACTAGTGAAAGTCTATCTGTGGCCCTGATAATGGGTATACACTCACCGCGTTGATTATTTCTTCACAGCGATTTATTCATTTAATTATTAAACTATAATTTATTTATGAAATTATTTGAAATAATTTATCTTTTATTCAATGATTTATACCATCTAATTTTTATCTATTTTTATTTGATTCTTGATGTCATCTAATTATTTACTTTATTCTTTAAATTATTTATTTATTTATTTATTTATCAAGCACGTAGCCAGCAATTTCAAAGGGGGGGGGGTCTTTTTCTGAAAAAGTGGACCTTTTAAACCGAAAAATCCCCATGTACTTATGTCAAATTTTACCCAGAGTGGACCTTTTTTCAGCAAAAGGGGGGGGTCTTTCGAACCTCCCGAACTCCCCCTGGCTGCGGGCCTGTTTATTTATTTATTTATTTATTAAGACTTTCTATTATTATCCTTTTACGGATTCGCTCTATTATTTTATATAAAATGTAACTTAATGTAGTAATTGAGGCAACACGTCAGCTTGTAATGTGAATAAATTGTTGTAATAATGTTTCTTTCTTTGTTATTTCTAAACAGTAATATATTTTTACACAGGGAGCGATGATGGAAATTTGTGTGCGGAGCATCTTTCAACTTTTTGAGACGGGGTGATTTGTTGATCATACTGATGTACGATGCTGATGCATGTCTATCGAATTCAATTTTTGACCACAGAACACTTCATATTGAATTAAATAACTGATACTAAATAAAACTAGCAGTTTTCTTGCAACACTTAAAACATGATCAGCTGCGCGTGCCAAGCTAATGAACAAAAGGATAGGTGGCCACGGGAGTGGCACGCGTTAGCACGGGTTCTAGCATCTTAAAGCTATAATCTTATCGCCGCAACAAACAATGGGCACCTTCTGGCTGATGTATCCTGCTGTTAATTACACCTAGTCACAGCGGATTGTCGCGCTCGCGCTGGACCACAGAAACAGGCGTCATGGGGTTCACTCGCCTAAGGTATTGTGCGTTATTACGTCTAAACTATTGTGTTTTTGCGTTCGAATTTTGAAGGGATTAGACGGCTTTCCATTGTTTGTCCGCCCCCTTCTATTCACAGGATATGGATTAAAACATTTCTGACGTTTTTAAAACGTCGTACAACGGAAACATAATTATTATTACTACTGTACCAATGGTTAATGAATCCATTCAGACATTCAACTTAAGTCTATTTTTTTTTTTTACTAATCTCTTAAGAGATTATTGCGGGGGTATAACCATCTATGAAGATCCACGTGGTCTGATGGCAGACACAAATTCAAGAATAATTGTGTTAACCTTTTTTGGTGGTAAAATTGAATTGATTTTATTTTTCTGAGTTGTTTACAATGTACTAATTGTGAAATATGAATGTCATACGAACAGTTCTAATACAGTAGCTTTTAGGCGAGAGTAAGTAGTGGTTCTTTTAATCTGGCAGGACAAGACGCCAATGCAAATATTCTGTTAATTTCTGTGGTTAGTAAGTAGATAAGTATAGATGCGTTGTCTCTTCTTTGTAGCTTCTGGATCTCCTTAGTGATGTAGTGAGGGGTAGATTCGAGACAGAAGACAAAAATAGTGGCACAGAAAAACTTGCTTCTGAAGTTCGTCTGTTCAATCCTTCAACGGCCATCTTTGTTCTCAACAAATGGGACCAGGTGTCAGAAAAAGAGAAGGATGATGTTTTCAAAGACACTCTTCGCAAGCTGCAAAACATCTGTGATGGTTTTACTGCAGATCAGCTTTTCCCTATGTCGGTGACAAAGGTGAGCTTTTTCACTTTATTGGACGTTCTATACTTAGTACATGTAAATCCATTTATGGATCAGAGGGTCAGTTAACAACAGGCTTCTGATTCGTACAGAGCTCAACAGTAGACACTGTTTGATTCAAAATAGATGACACCATCTGGGTTCTGTTGAAAACGCGGAAAGTCTGTGTCATTAGATTGTTAATTCTACAGCACTGTCTTTTGTATTCTTCCCCAATCCATGGAATATGCCCTCACTATAAATTGCCGGTAATTTAACACTTTTATAATTGTTCGCCAGGATAAACACAAACAAAAACAAACCCCAAGCAGAACATTAAATAATACTAAACTAAAACTGGTTGAATTATACTTCATATTTGAATTTAGTTTGAACTTTTTGAAGTCGCAGATGCAATATCCTGTTGGTATATTCCATATTTTTAAGCAAGAAATCCGTGCACTTTGGTTTTCGGGACGTTATAACATATGGTTTTACAATTCTGCATCCCCTTTCGTCTCCTTCAAATAAAATAATCGAACCATTATCTTGGAAGCATAGGGAAATTCTAACCTTCCTCGAGGCGCGATAACTTAAGTTTTAACTGCAGGATCTACACCGCCCTGAGCATGTTTATAGCTGTGAAATTCAGGTCAAGTTCGAAAATCGACCGTTGCAGACTTCATACCTATATTTTGTAATTGTAGTGATTTATCTTTTTTCTAAGTTATTTCCGAAACAAAACAATTTTGATAATACAGTATTTCCGATTAATTGAAAGCCTTTCTACGAAATGTTTGATCAAAATGCTATTTAATATATCTGGTACCACGAAACGTCTCTTGAAATGATTAAAAATATTCGCGAAAGGTGTTTTTTTGGTAATAGCGTTTCTATTTTCTTATCTTTTCATAATTCATTATGCATACATCAGGCACAAAGAGCACTAAAACAGGGCTGTGCGACACCCGAGTTCTCCAACTTCCTTGTTGGGCTGAAGAAACTTTTTCCTCAGACCCTAAAATCAAGTCAGGAGACTAAATACAGGTAACAAATTGTCATTCGGCTGTTTCCTTTATAATGGTCACCATAAAGTATGTCATTTAGTGAACGGTTTATACAGGATGAGCATGTATGAAATTTGAACATTTTATTTTATTTCATTATACCAATAACCTTTTTACCAGGATTTTTTTTTTTTTTTTTTTTTTTTTTTTTTTGAAACCCATTTCAGATTAGTGGTTCACATTCTGCGAAGATCTGCGTTTCATCTAAAGTCAGCTTTGAACATCTTTGAAAGATCTGAAGAAGAACGTAAGAAGAAAGCTGCTGAAATCATGCGACAGATTAGAGGAATAAAGAACAGTTTTGAAAAGAAACGTTCTAAATTGCTAGGGCTTTTAAAGACAAAGGCTCAACAAGCTGCACGACAAATCAAAGAATACCTGAATAAGAATAAGGAGCGTGTCCTTAAATGGAAAGATGGTGATTGTCCAAAGCCAACTGACCATTGGGATGATCTTTACACACAAGCTAGAACCCTCATCCTCGGGCGAATCCGTGAACTTCTTGAAGAATGGAACACAAACACTGAGTTCTTCACAAAAGCACAGAAGGAGCTTATAGGAATGTTCCACACAGAGTTCAACATCATGGAGAACCAAGTTGCTCTTTTGGAAGGTCAGTTTACCAGCAACAACATGCTTGTAGTCGAGGATGCAAATCCCACAGGCTTAAGAGACGTGGAGGATACTTCTACTTTCACCACCACTGAGAAAGTCATCATTGGCGTCACTTCTCCAATTTGGATTCCAATAGGCCTCGTAGCTGTACTTTTCGCTGTCCCTGTTGCCCTTGGGGTGGCACTAAAAGAGCGCCTGAACGAGAAGAAACAAATCAAAGAGTATACAAAACACAAAGCGGCAGTCATGGGAAATATTGCAGAAAAAGTACTCGAACATTTTATGTCGGAAGAAAACCTTTCGAAAGAGGTGATACGGTACCTGAACTCTGCGGTTGCCACACTGAATAACCTACTCAGTGCTATTCCAAAACTCCTAGATGATGACCTTCAGCTCATAAAAGGGTTGCTAAGTGAGAGTAAGAAAGCAGAATCAGAGTTGCAACTGTATCAGACAAAGCTCCAACAAAATGATGACTTAGAGGGATGCCTTGGGTTGCTGTACGTGACAAAAATCCGAGGAGACATCAACGCAAACACAGAAATAAATTGGGACTTGCCTGCTATTGCCTCTGGTGCATTTGGCGAAGTTTATGTCGTGACCCTTCTATCAAGAAACAACATGAAAGCAGCGGCTAAGGTGATGAAGCAGTGTGCAACAGCAGAAAACGTGGGTGAGGCTATACTGGAGGAGGAAAGTTTGAGGTGAGATGTACGGATTAGGATAGATGCTAAGATTTTGCTGTCTTATTTGATTATTTTACCAGTGGCGAAAAATGTTATTTTAATACGGCACTAGTTTAGGAAAGGGTGAGTGTATTAGTATTAATGTATGCCTTATCATGTGGGAAAGGGGAAATAATTTTTCTTCATTTGATCCGAAGATTGGTATGATCAGTTTGACCATTTTTTGTTGATACAGGAGACTTAACAGAACCCCAAACATCATCAAGTTCATAGGAACCAGCGCCATCATAAAGCCAGATGGCAACAGGCGCCTTGTCATTCTAATGGAATATTGCCCCAAAACCCTTGCGAATCGTATGTTGAATGCAGATGCGACAAGTCCCAAAGGACAACGAGAGACCATAAACCCTGGTTTGAAGCAGCCGTTAGATCCTGGCCTCATGCGTTCTGTCGCTTACTTTGGTAAGCAAATATGCACTGGATTACGAGGCATGCATGCTCAAGGATACATTCACAGAGACTTGAAACTGGAAAACATATTGGTAAGTCTGAAGTTGGATGGGTAAGATATTCCTAAGATGCAAGTTTTAGTGACTCAGACCTTATCAGCTATAAATGAATAGCATTTTATATACTACATATACTTCTTCATGGTATTGTTTAATTTCTGTATTGACTCAATACTTTGTGTATGTAATGCTTTGCTGCCGTTCAGAACAAATGTGATTATCCCAATATGAAACGTTTGTGTACATGACCAATTTAAGATGCTATGCGCTTTTTCAAATAATCCTTTGATGCCATCAGGTAACTGATAGAGATGAAGTTCGACTTGCTGATGTGGGACTGACAAAACCGCAGTATGACATTACTGGTACACTATGTGGAACACTGGTTTACATGGCACCAGAAATTCTAAAGAAGGAAATGTACGGAGCACCTGCAGATATGTACACGGTTGGGATCATGCTTTGGGAAATGTGGTATGGGAAACGTGTCTACAATCTGCCTTGCTTTGAGAACTTCGATATATCAGATTTTTTGAAGGTGAGTTATACTTCACTGAATGAGTTACTGTTAAATTGGTGCGCACTGAATATGCTTCAGAGAATTATATCATCTCAAACATATTTCATCATAAAATTCAATTTACAAAATTGGAAATTGGTCTCACTCGAGTTTAAGAATCGGGATATACTGCAAATAACTTTTACACAGTTACATGGTTGGCATTGGCAGAGATGGTAAACTGTCCGTATTCTGAAGCCCACGGTGATTAATGTAAATGTAGCCATTTATATTACATAAGTGAAAGTTTTTAGGAATATACCTGATTTCGGGATTTTTTGTCTTCATTTGATAGATTATGTCATATGGTCTAAAAAAGAAATGAGAAGTGAGCTCTAAGAAATTGCAAGTTACGTTTTCAGTTTCTACAACTTTCACACATGCATTTAAATATCTGGGTTTCAAAAACAAGGATTTACCCTCCCCAATCACCCCATAACACCAGTTGTAATCGAATATTGATCTACTCTGAAAAACTTTGACTAAACTCAAACCAAAAACAACTAAACGGAAGTAAGAAAGCCATGGTTGTAAACCATCATGATTTAACACATTTCCCTGTTGTGAACACGTACTTATTATTGTGAGAAAGGGGCTTTAACGTTTAACTTCTATTTCCAGCTTGACTGGACGTCACTTATTATCCTTGAGGGTTTTACACCGCCGCCGTCCATGTGGTGCGAGAAGTTAGAAAAGCTACTTTCCCCCACACCATCTGAAAGACCAACAGCAAGCCAAATAGAGAGATTCCTTGCAGAAGAAACCCAAATGGGATTCCGTCATAAGTAATTTCCAAAGTATTGTGACCGAAATAGTATATTATTTACTATTTTTCTCCTGGATTTAGTTGGTTTTTGCCTCCGTTTTAATGTGAACAAGTAGTCACTGCTTTGTCGTTATTGTATCGCTACAGGAAAATACACATTGGTTTAGGGATCTGAAGGATGAAAGGACGGAGGCTATTGTTTTGGTAGGGGAAGAGGAAGGTGAATGTATCGTCGACATGAAGATATTAGGTGTAGTGGGCGCGCGCATACACATGCACACAGGCAACAGTGATAGTTTAGATTGATATACTGCAATATAGAGGTTCATTCTTTTCATGCTAGAATTTAAAATAAGAAGTTATTTATTTAAAAGCGCGTTTACTTAAAATTCATTGAAAAAGCTACAGTATATCAATCTGTGTATGATAGTTTCTACTCTTTCGTGCGTGATACAATGTCCTTCTTAGAATTTATTTTATTACTTATATTATGTAATAGATGGCAGGAGTGATAGATGCTCTGTCTAACACACCAAACATAATAACATCCCATACACTGTTTTTTGTTTGAATCTGATACATTGAGCTATGTAAATTGTAAGGTGTTTTTGAAACTTTCTTAAAATCATTTTCCATCTTCTTAAAGGTTCCTAGAAGCCTCTATGTTTTAGAAATATGGGGGTGACAAAGGTATTGCACCATTTTTCTTTAAGGGGAACAGCAGCTGGATTTGTTAGTTTTTTCAATTGTTATTTTTTGAAAACTGATTGTTTCAAGTGAGTATCGTTATTTTAGGTTTACAGAACAGTGCATTGCCCTTACATAACACATGATATTATGTCAGAATTAACATTTTGTAGGATAGCAACATGATCTCAATATGACCACCATCCTTTAGACATAGACTGATAAATTTTAATTAATTTTCTGGGGGCTATGTTAGCCCAGGCTCTGAAGACACTTTGGATCAGCTAGAGCATTTCTGGAAGAGGGGAGATCCTTTGCCACTTGATTTCCAATATCTTGCCACAGGTTTTCAATAGGGTTTGCATCTGATGATTGGGCAGGCCAGTCCACCCTGTTGATACCACTCTTGCACTGCCCTGGCCCTGTGTGGTGTAGCGTTATCATCTTGAAATATGTAAGGGGGTTCCTGTCCAATAAGATTTTTCAGACCTACATGTATGAACCTTCAGACTATCGAGACGCCCCTGTCCGGGCAATGGTTCTTGTAGCCCATGTCACTCCTCTGCATCTGTTTACCAAGTGATGGGTGGGTTCCTCCTGACAATTCTGCTGTGAATACCTAAAGCATGGAGCGTTGTGCTAACCTCAACCTGCAAACTGTGCAACCACTGCAGCATTAATTCCCTGCATGGCTTAAACCTCCTAAGCCTTGACAGCATAAAAAGGCGCCTGTCGTCTCTGGCATTAGTCATCCTTGGGCTGCGACTTTGATGTAATTTATGGGCATCAGTGTCCTCCATGCTTCTGTAAACCCTATACACAGGCTGATGAGATACACCATATCTTGCAGCTAACTGAGTAACATTGATAACCTCCTCCCTCAGAGAAACAGTTTCATATTCCACATTTGTGATCTCCCGTACCTTCACCATGATGGCAACCTGACAGTTAGCAGAACCATTTTACCTTCGGAGGCACCTTTCATAGTACACATGGATGAAAACTTATCACTGGTAAAGCAAGCATTAAACCGAAAAGAAAACTTGTTAAACTAACAGGTCCCTCATGTCACACAGAGCACTATTCACACAGGGAGTGCAATACTTATGTCACCCTCAGTACATTCTTATCACCAGGTGCATTCGGCATTTTTTGAGCAGGTGATGATTAAATGTTGAATCATATGTCGAGTTTTAAATGAATAGAAATTCATAACCAGCAGGACGTTCACTGTGGCACTATGATTTTTTTTCAAAAATAATGTGTCATGTTTCATAAGAAATTTGCTTAATTTGATTTTTTTTTTAATTTTAATTTTTCTTTTACTATTCAACTAACCTAGATGTCTTTTTTTTCTGTTCCTTTGAATACTTTTTTGGTTAATCAATGCATATATAACATGTTATCTTTGATGCCTAGTATTGCCAGCTTTTGAATATGTATGTGGTTATGTGAAAAATGTGTCAAGTTGCCATGATCATCGACAAAAGTAGTGGAGTAGCAGTCGTTTAATTTATGACTTAAATATGAATAGCTGGCTGTTTGGGCACTTTCTGATTTTAGCACCATTGGTAAAGTGTTGTTTTTTACGTTTTTAATTTTGTTTATCCTGAAATAATCACGCTGTGAACTTTTTTGAAAATAAATGTAATGTTTTTGTGTGATCTTGCCTCATCTCTTTGTTTTACAACAACACCGACCATAAAATGTTAAATGTTAAATTACAGTGATGCAATGATGATTCTGTTAATATTAACCGATGGACAGACCCGACAAAAGTGGTGCAACATAGCAAATGCACGAAAACTGGCAATATGCAGATTGGACTAAATTTCAAAATAAGACTTTAAGTAGTAAAAAAGTACAATGTGTTTCATCATTCTATACATCATGTAATGTGTGAATATTAGGTTGCCTATGACGGAGGCCATTAGTATTGTGAGGGAATAATAGAGGCATTGTATTCTTTCAACATGTATATTTTCCCAGGAATCCTCAGGTTTTTGAGTGCATTCCAAGTTATTTGTCCCATTTTTGTGGTCAGTGCAAATGTCCTGTTCATACTCAAAACTTTCCAGGTGCATATTGAGTGAAAAAATATCAAATGACATTCGAATTGTATTCCTACATTGTATTCCTACATTGTTACCGCATCTTAAATATTCCTATTATATTCCACTAGCATTCGAGTCATTCAGAGGCATTGAAGGATTACCGAAATATTTGGGTTAATTTAAATTCAGATAAATTTTAAATATCCAGGAAATATCATCATTGTAGCACTCGAGCTCATTCCAACTCGTGTCAATTTAAAATACGGAATGTGGCACGAATTTTGAATAACGTGCATTTTTAGCTTTCTGTGCTTCCTTCAGCCTCCTGATTTCGGGTAAGTGTGATAGGGGTATTACTTAAACAGGTGACATTACTTCCCTAAATTAATACTTTTGTCTAACCCTAGCCTGTACGCGTTTAAAAGCAATGTATCAGCCGATTCATCTGTGGTTCCAATTTCCAACGAGAGCCGATATTGAGAGTAAAAAAAATATTAATTTACATCCCCATATTCGAGCAGACAATAGCCTGTAATGAGCATATATATATACAGTTTTACAACAGTGTTGATGTCAACTTTTTAATAAAAATATATTAAAGGTCCCCAGGAGAACTCCTTAACCTAGGATACACCATCTTAGACTGAACGGTGATTCTGGATACCCATCCTATTTGCCACAAAAGAGACACTTGTGATCAAGCATGATACTATAAAGACGAGATGACTCGTATCATTCACAATGGCGAGATTAAAACACTTAATTTTACCTTTCGAACTTTTAGAACTTATTTCACAACTTTTACCACCCAGAGGCTTACCCTCATAGACTCTAAGAGTTAAGAACTTACAATAAAAAGCAGATGCGGATCTATTGTTTTGATATCAAAATAAATGTTACGATTCATTGAGTTGTGTTTTAACTAAAATGAAGAAAAACTGAAGCTGATACTGGATCACCTGGGGACCTTTTAAGAAGCTCGCAACATAGTGTTACTCGTTTCAAGTAAGCACCAGTATCAGATAAAATATTTCCTTTACTTTAACTATTGTTTGGATGTTCTCACAGCTACCAGAACTTGACAAAAGAAGAAAATACCAAATTTGTTATGGATAAGCAGGCACGTAGCCAGAGAGAAGTTCCGCTTTCTCAGCTGGATCAGGTGGTGTTCATGTTTAACGTAAACTGGTTAAGTCTACGTTTAAAGCAATTCATACAGACAATGTCCCATTATAAATGATCGGTTACATTTGGAACAAGCTTCGTCCCATGACAACATTAACATAAATAGTGTTTAGGATGGTAGGCATACAGAAACCAAGCGTGGTTTTGTCTTTGGCATTTCTTCTCCATTGCTTACTGCAATCACTACCAGCATCAGTGAAAATACGAAAGCAATTATGTTATCGGACATTTGCATGAATGAAGTTACCTTACGTTTTAACGAAAGGAAAAAGAGAAATGTCTGATCGAAGACAGGTACAGCCCAGTGTGATCGATTATGCTGCCATCAAATTCTACTGACTACGCATTACGAGCTCTGGATTCGTTTCTGCGTTAACACAGCACAGGCTTCTTATTCTACTGACTTGTCACTTACAGTTGGATTTACCGTCTTTGTATACTAACAGAGAGGTAAAATATTGATTATAAAAATCGTACTATGACAGGTACTAGAATCGTTTATGGGTGGGTTAGAGGGGCATTCCAAGGTCGTCTACACTAGGGCGGGAAAGTATCTGGAGGGGCCGGGAACCTGGGATCTCCCTTTGCTGTTTTGAGTATACAATGTAATTTTCATAACACCATTGAATATATCAAAAGCGATTCTGAGGGTTAGAAATCAGTGCCGTGTTTTGAAAAAACTATTCTGGCAACCAAAAAATAGTGTCGTTTTTAAGAGCCTGGCAACCTGAAACAAGGTGTTTTTTTTTTAAAAACGATTCCGACATTGCACTGTTGATTTAATGAAATGAAAGCCAATGAGCCGGAGAGTGCAGATCATCATCAGTTCATTCCTCGGTAAACTGATAAAGCAACTTCTGTTCATTCATCAAGCCAGGGGCAGCAACTTTTTAAGAAACCTGTGCAGCAAATTATTATTTTAGAGTGACTAAATAATGAAAACTACTCAGGCACACAGGTTCTGTTCTTTTCCCTTGATGGCACAGTTTTAAGAAGGCATGACATAGCATCGTGCAGAGTACATGGACACATGTCAATAGTGTTATAAAAATTTGACTTGCCAACGAATTTTTTTCGACCATAATAACAGCTGATATCATTGGAGAACCGCCTTACATAATTTTACAACAATAGAGTATATATTCTTATTTGTAAGGCCAGTCTCCAGGCAAATTACCTCATCTTTCAACGATAATACAGAGTAAACTTCCCTCTTTAATCTTCAATTCCTTTAATTAATTTCTTATGTATTTACTTCATTTTGAAGAAGAACTTCTTAAGTTGTTTCAGAAATGCGTGCTGCAGAAATAGATGCCACAGAGTGCTTTGCCAGGTCAGCCCGATTCAGATTCAGATTCGCGATTTATTGTAGACAGTATATACACATCCAACATGTAGGACCTGCATCAAGCACTTTTGCCTTGTAGAAGCACTGTTAGGTTTAAGATTGATAATGGCTCTCAAGTGAATAATTTACTGAAACATGTATTTGACTCCATTAATCATGTAGCCGACCTGCAACCCAAAAGTAAGAATGGTCGGTCATTAGAAAACTTAGTGATATCTATACGTCAATGTGACATATTTTATAAGAACATTTGTCGAAAAATAAGGAAACAGTCACTAAAATCGGCCTGCTTTGTTACTTACAACACGCTAATAATCGATTTCTCAAGTCAGACTTAGTAGGCAGCTCGATTGCAAAGCGATTTTAAGGATATGTGATTTTAAAGATATCGTCCCCCTTTGCCCAAAACTCATTATTTACTGCCTTACTTACATTCTTTTGGGTAATGAATGAATTTTCGGTGTCCAGTGACAAAATAAAATGACATTTACACACATGTCATCTTGCAGGTGACGTAATATTCGCGATTTTGGGGTAAAATTGAAAAATCGGTTTCTCAAAATTAACTTTTACCTGAGCACCCACGATCACCGTTTTAACTCTGATATAAGAAACTATTTAGTACTGCAAACCCTGCCAGCGATATTTCATAGAAGTCTTAGTTGAGATTTTATCGTTGATAAAGAAAAACAATGCCTTTTTTAATGAAATCTGTAATTAGGGACTCATAACCCTAATTACGGATAACAAAAACATGTAAACCATACTGTCGGCACAGAATTGTAGTCTAGACAACTTCGTTCTTCAACAGTGGCAACGTTTAACAGATAGCATGCCCTTTTATTTATTTATTTATTTATTTATTTTACTTTGTTTTAATCGAAGATAGTAACGCGCCATAGGGTTTTTTTTTACGCACCGCTCAAATCACAGTGTTTAAACGAAAAATTGTTGCCCTGTCACAGACTACGTGGAAATGTGATTTTTTTAAATTTCGCTATCCTTGAGCAATACTGGCTATAGGAACCACTAAAGAAGTTAAATGCGCCGTTGGTACTGGGTTTTATTTTATTTTGTGGAGATAAACGCCTATCGTCGGTCGCACCTCACTCCGTCCACTCCCGATTCTGGTTTCTGAGCATCAGAACCGTTACAAATTGTTTTGAAAAAACTAAATGAATTTCTGGGTGCCAGGTTCCTTTATCGAAAACCGACATTGGTTAATGGTAGAGCGGATTGTTTTTTTTTTCCGTTAAACAGGATTTTTTAAAGAATCGTTGTATGAAAATTTTAATTAAACTAATTTTTCTCCAGACAGAAGTCTTGCATCGGAGGTCACCCCTTCACCTCCCCTCCCCCCCCCCATACACACAAAGAACACTTCGACAAAAACGACACTAGCTTCTCAGTGACAGAGTCGTTTTTTCGATTGTATTTAATCAAACTTAGCACCCCCACCCAGCAAAACGAGTCACCAAATGCCAGTTAATCCTCCCCCACCGACCTACTATATATTTAATCGCAGACAACGAGCCCTCCTGCGCAGCGGGAAGAGACAGTGATACCCAGACACCGTGGACACCGATTTGGCCTCCCAGCACGGCGTTTGTTCCTGACACCCCCTCACACATACACNTTTTAATCAAACTTAGCACCCCCACCCAGCAAAACGAGTCACCCAAGGCCAGTTAATCCTCCTCCACCGACCTACTATATATTTAATCGCAGACAACGAGCCCTCCTGCGCAGCGGGAAGAGACAGTGATACCCAGACACCGTGGACACCGATTTGGCCTCCCAGCACGGCGTTTGTTCCTGACACCCCCTCACACATACACACCCAAATGACTCTAGCAACTAAGTATAGTCATATAAATCGTTTATATCATATAAGTCGTTTTCGCACCAGTGGACATAAACTCCACATTGAAACAGGCAGATACACTAACACTCCTCGGACCAACAGAATATGCCATCACTGTTCTACAGACAAAATTGAAGATGAAACACACTTTCTCACAACATGCCCCCTATA